GCCCGTCAGCACCTGCGACAGGGAGAGCGCACACGTACCCAAACATGAGTTTAGCACAAAGTAAGCGTCCTGCACGGCCATAAAATGAAGCACAAAGTCAGTGAGGGGAATCGAAAGAGGGCACGTTAATCAGCAGACATGCATTTTGTATGAGGGGGGGGGGGGTAAGAGGGCCCCGTACAGTGTGACTACAGACAGTCGTACATTATAAATGGAATAAATGATGCTCTCAGTTGGATCGTTAATGCCGTGAACTATGAATCACCTAAATTACCTGTTTCTGCCGGTGACGGGTCCCTGAGATTTTGTTATAAAATTAAAAAACTGCAGTCAACGTATAGAGGTGGCACCTTTTTGGGAGTCAAATAAAAAAACAAAAAAGCTCCCTTCTAATGCCGTATTGTGACAGGCAGGCCGACCCCCCCCCCCCCCACCCCGCCGAGGTGCTTTCCAGGGGACGAAGACTTCCTAAAGGCGAATGACATTTGCCTCCAACATGTTTGCTCGCTCTCTCTACACGACTTGTTTCTCCATCGAGCTGGAGCCGTCCCCTCGGACCGAGCCAACACCTCGGCTCAGACGGATTCTCACACACACACACACACACACACACACACCTCAGAGGTTCAATCAATACTTTTCCAGAGTTGGAAAGAGACGTTGTGGCACTGTGTTGGTTTAGTTACTGCTCTCACAAACAAAGGGATCCATAAAACCGTTAGTGATATTGCGCACACATTTGCACACATCCCATTACGTCATCTGCACAATTATTAACAACGGGGCTAGAAAATAAAGAGAGTGTTTAACACACGTGTTAGATCACTGAGAGGCCTACACTGAATGGTGATCAGACACCGGGACGTGTTGGATGTGGATACAGTGGCACCCCAGGGTGCCCTGAGAGGGGAGCGAGTCTGCCTCAGGATGGTTTCCTTTTCTTTTCTAACAATGTGACATTAACTTAAATGTCATGTTGTTTTTAATTATACATGATGGAAGAATCAAGCAGTAACTATTGAAGTAGGATATGCAGCTGTTTTCATAGCAATGCAATTCTCTTTCAAGGAAGTTCTGCAGATGCTCGGCAGTCCAGAGAATTTATGAAGTATAAATACATTATAAACTTGTGCCTCAACCTTATCCCAGAAGTCATAATAATTCAATACCTTTTGTAAGTAAATGGATTAATGTGTGTTGTAGATAGAGCCGTCAGTGGATGCAACACGATCCGTGGTGTTAGATAGTGGAATTTATACTGAGCGTGGTGTTTCTGGTAAAGTTTTCCAAAACAGTGTGGTTTCCAAGTGACTGTGATCCTGTTCACTTGACACATTCCTTCTGTGTTTATCCCTCAACACTCAGGTGGATGAAAAGTGATCAACCCCACAGTTAACAGACGTTTGGAGCACTGAGCGCTGTTGCGACAGCACGCAAATCCGATTGTTTTTAATAATCACAAACGCCCGCCCGTACTCATATTTTACAAGCCTCCACATGGGGTTTGTGTTTGGACAATAAAATCTTTCGTCTGTCATCACTACATTGGTTGTCTTGGTTTCAATACATTACACACACACAGACTGAGATTGCGTTCTCTGACTGGTGGGGAGTCACATTGTTTGGATGTGTACAGGAGCTGCTTCTTTTGCGATTTGGGAGCATCTTTTCCAGGAATCACATGGCAGAGCATGATCTAAGAAGAAATAAGGGCTCATTTGAGCATCTTTCTATGTTGAACATGACTCCCGCGCCTTCAGAAACCACCCTCCTGACTCTTCTGTCAGTTTTCTGAATTTTCATCCAGGACTGATCGATCAACTTCTGCTTTTTGGCCAGATTCTGCGCTTCAGTGCCAATTAACATATAGGCGAGCCACAGCGTTTATCAGCGGGACATTACGTTGAATGCTCTCTGTTCATGATGACAGGTCACGTTTTGGTGATACAGACATTGTTGTTGTAAAGTAATACAATTAACAAATTGTTTTCTTCATCATCCCCTTCTCGTGGAGAACCTTCCTGAGGCCTGTGTTTAGTCCAGTACGTTTCAGTAATTTTGACTAAATGAAGATTGTTTCATCTGCTCACTATCGTCTGAAAGTTGATTCTGAGGACAGGGACACATAAATGAAGGGCAGAGGGGTCGGATTGAGTAATTTGTTGAGTTTGCGTCTGGTTGTTTGCTCACCACACCGCACACTCAATCATCCTACTCCTGTGGTGGAGCTGGCTCATCATTGGCGCCAATGCACGAGGCTCCATCAAAGAAATACAACAAAAGTTAGATTTTTCCATTCCAGCGTTACGTGCTTGTGCGCACTCCTGGTTGATCCCTTTGTAACACGATCACTGCATTTCTATTTTCAGTAACTGTAAAACCCGGTTTGGTGGCATTAAATCACTATAGTACAACTTATTTAATACACTCGTCAGTGGCCATCAAAGGGGAAAACTAAATATTCTATTCATGTCATCCCGTGTGGGGGTTCCCAGCACGTCTGACAATAGCAACACTGTACTATTGTCCCGAACACACTGCGCATCAGGAGAAGTTGAGTCGCCCACGCAGCCGGAGCCGGAGCTGTGTGTTTAGCGCAGACCCAACAGAGCGGGGCACTTGACTAGTTCACGCTCCATCTCATCACCAAGTGTATTTGGCTCTCTGAAGCTTTGTCATTGTGCAGATAAACATTCAAGGGCCGTGTTTGGTCACCCGGAGGACAAGCCAGCCCCTCACACAGTGCAATCCCCACCCAAGGACGGATGAAAATGGGGGTCACCACAAGTGAAATGCTTCTTTTGTGTATTTAAGACTCCCCGAAGCCGCCTCCCTGCCCCCCCCTTCTATTCAAAGTCGTTTTCTGGTTGGGCTTCGGTAAAAGACAAGGCGATGGCGAAGAGCCAGGAGTTCTGCTGCCGTGGAGTTGAAACGTGAAAGCCAAGCTCTGGAGTCCTCAGCAGAGAGATGGGATTTTGAAGCTGGAATGTGGGGGGGGGGGGGTTTGGCTGGGCATGAAAAAGATTGGACGTTTTTTGGCTGTCGCCGACGCCAACTAGCTCCTACCTCGAGATGCCGCTGGGTTCCAAGTATGGCAGCGAGGGTTTTAAAACTGGAAATAATCTCCGGCAAACTGGAGGTAGTTTATTCTCATTCATTCTGGCAAGAAAAACGAAAAATTGAATATAGAGGCAAATATCCAGGTAGCAACATTGGCACGTATCAAACAAACGGTGCTGCTACCTCTAAAAACTCAGCAACCCCGGGCACAGTTTGGAACCGATGAGTCCTAAACGACACTCAGACTTTATTTTAATTCACCATCCAGCCAGCTTTGGCTTTTTCCAACACCTTCCCTTCTCACTGGGACGAAGCGGAACGTCTCCTCCATACTGCGTACACCGTTCTTAGCCTCATTTTTAGCCCAGCGCCGGGGGGCTCCAGGTACGCAACTGTCACATCCTGCTGCATTCAGCAGCACCTCGCTCTCCACATGTCAGCACTGATAAGGCGATGGAGTGCGTGGAATGGAGGCCATTTGTGGAACGCAAATACGTCTGTTATCGCAGCTCGGATAGAAGTGAATCATTTATCCCTCTTGAATCAAAAGGTCAACTCACTAACGGGACTCCGGAAAACCTAAACTAGTATATTTAATACTCACATTTTTTATTTATAAAGATATAAGCTTGTATTTCTGGCTTCAGCCATACAATACATCTCACTGACTGCCACCGCCCATTGTGCATTTCATGTCATCATTCAATATGTATAGCTGTGTGTGTGCCGCCCTTTAACACACCAATGAAAACATCGCTACATTCCGAAAATGTGTCCACAGTAGCAAAGAACTTGAATGAAGAGCTCTCCGCTTGGAAGCTGAGTAACTCCACAAAAGAAACCCATAACTGTCGTACAATGTAATGAGCATTCAACCCGTCGGTCAGTCGAGCAGCTGCTTTTTAGAATATTTGAGTGCACTTATGCCTTGAAATGTTTTTCAGCTTTTTTATTTAGCATCTTTGAGCTTTTGACAGCTTATACAACAAAACTGGTGTACCTCTGTAAAGTCTCTGTCCTCATAGACACATACCAGAAATGAAGTCTTTAAATAAAGTGCATGTATCTTATCTTTGCTTTTGACTGAAACGTAAGCTGCATCCTTATAATTTATAAGTAAGAGACTGACAAAGCCTACAAACAAGGCCTATTATACTGACAAGCTAAATATTTGGCTTTGGGATTTACAGATGAGGAAGATTGGCTCCAACAACAGAATCGTGATTCCAAATCAGCAAAGGTTTCAATCGGCTCATGTACACGGAATATTGGATGAATGCTGAAGGAATAATGGTACATGCAGCGTTTAATACGTAATGATTACAATAACTACACAGCAACAACTACATCCACTGAACCTGCAGGAAATGTGTGTCCACAAAGACTGTTATTTTAGTCATTTAGAATTGTGCACATTTAGGTAAAAGTATAAAATAAGGCATTAATGTCCTTACTTTAGACTTTTGTAATGCTATTTACAAGGCAAGCTTTTGCATTGTATGGTTAAAGTATGAAAAAAGATTGTTCTTATTTGTCCAAAATGACGTGTATAACCTTGTAGACCTTTCATCTTGCACTCATTACTTGTTCACCAAATACAAAGCTCGCCAAAAGTCAATGAATAACACACGCAGCGTTTTGGGATTAAAGCTCCAGACGAAGCTGCGCTGACACAATGACAGCAGCAGACACGTGCGTCCAACTCCCACGCCTAAACCACATGGAGCCATCCAGCCCCCCCCCCCCCCCCCACCCCCCCCCAAAAAACAACGACCCCTCCCCACCCCGTCCCGACCCACTCCACCCCTCCGATGTATGACATTCCATTGTGCATGTGCTGCGAGGAAGAAAAGAAGGGAAAAAAAGGAGACCCGAAAACCTATTGCTCCGAAAGGAATGGTCCCAATGAAAGTGAATTAAGCAACAAAGGAGGCACTTACATTCAAGAGCCTCACATGGTCCTCCCGAAAGAAAAAGGAGAGAAGCGTGCAGTGAGTCCAGTCTCAGAAAACAATAGTAGATAACCTTGAAGAGAGCGAGAGGAGGTGAAAGTGAAGGGAAAAAAGGCGGGAGAGTCAGAGGGATGGAAAAGAAAGGTGAGGCAGGACGCGGATACATGCATCCACACACCCAGTGTACTCGCAAATCAAAACACATTGGCTCTTTTCTTGCATTTCCCCTCCTCCTCCTCCTTCCTGTTCAACCACATCCCCCCCCCCTGCCTTCGGGTTTTACTTGTCATGTGTTCAGGCTCAGTCAAGCGGGAAGCGGGCTAAAGGGAACAAGCCTGCGAGTGCTTAGTCCGGCGGTTTGGAATGCTCATGCTTATATTACTGAGCTTCCTTGGACCCTTTTTCGGAGTTTGATCCAGACCAGATGGACGGTGAGACAGTAGACGATAGCCAGCATCTCGGCGTGTCTATCACACCTCTCTGGGATCCCATCCCGACAGTAAGACGTGTCTCCTGTGGAAAAATCTAGATGGATCACTATGTCAGAGACATATGTCCAGTTTCCAAAAGCGTTTGGCTGCAACTTTATATCTCAGTTCTGAGATTCTGGCATTCTGAAAGAGGATAATGAGCGTCCCAAACTGCTGACACAATCACATTGCCTCAGTTCAAAGAAATGAAGGACTCTTGCTGTGCAACCATTTGCTGATTACACAAAATGGTACACTCCATTTCTCCATATTTTTCTCTTCCTCAAAGAGGAATAATGTAAAAAATGTTTCCTGTTGATTTGAACTTTTAGTGGTCATCACCCTGGACAACAGGGGCACAGCAGCGGGATCAGTAGGCGTTTTTCACACTCAGTCAGCAGTTTAACTCTGAACATTTTGGGCTGAATCTGTCTATTTGAAAGTAAAACAATTTACGGTTTACATCACCAAAAGCTGGCGCTTAATGATTATCAGTCTGAGAATGAAACGATTGCAAATCATCACTGACGTTGGTTTCAGAAAGGAGTCTTGGAATTAGCTCAGCATTGAGCAAGCAGACGTTTTTCTGGATGAATAATTCATTGTTATTTACAATGTTTTCTAAATGACGTGTATTAGCAAGTTATGTAAAATGAAAAACTCCCCTCAAGAAAATCATCATCACCATTTTTCAATGTCTTTCTTTTTTTGTACAAATGCAAAATGGTAACTTTAAAACTCTTGACAAATGTTTTTTTGTTTGTGTCTCATTTTCATCCTGTGAGCCGAGTGTGAATCCTCGGCCATCATCATATAACAGGTTGTATACTGCCGGCGAAAGGAATCCAAGCTTCAAAACATTTAAACCTCAAAAATGCGTCACGACTTCAAAACATTTGTCTGTGGCAGATGTTTTATTTTTGGCTGCTCACGACCTGACGCGCCAGTAGAGAGGAAACGCGCCCATGGTCATTAGACAGCCAGCACAAACGTGTAGGGAAAAAGGAATGCATTTACCCACGGCGAGCGTACCCCCCTCTGTCCTCCCGTCTTAGATTTGGATGAGCTAAGCTGCTGCAACAGTCCCTAACAACATGATCAGCAGCTCAGTCGAGCTCCACCAGGGAGCATAAGACCTGCTGAAGGAGGGCTGGCGTGCCCAATCATCTGCTTCAGTGCAAGTGAAGGGGTGGGCGGGGGATTAAAGTGAATATTAAAGTCGCTTTGCTTTTAAGAGACAACTATTTCATACCCCATGAAGATTACACGGGACGTATCGCTGATATTCGTGGCGGTATCTTGTCTCCCTCGTGGCTATGTGTGCTCGTGGGGAGATCATCTTGAGATGTGCTGGCTTTCTAGGGAAGTGGTAGGATGAAGAAGGATACACTTACAATCCACCCAGGAGAAGGTGGGTGGTTCGCCATGTGTGTCGTCGATCCATTTGAGTCTTTCTGCTGAATGGAGAACCCGGCGAAATAAAATAAGTACTGCGTAGGTCTCATGAGACGTTCAAAGGCATTTCAAAGATCTAGCGGGTTTGTGTGGGATGCAGCTGTCTCTGTCCCGTGCCAACCCTTTCGAGCTTTTTTCCGATGCTTTCGTGCTTTCTCCGCTGCGGCGGAACCCATCACGTAAGATCCTGCTGTGTCTCGCATTGCTTCTGACAAGAGGTGAAGCCTTAAACCTCGGTCGCACATCCAGTGCCGGTGGAAACGGCGAGGAAAAAAAGACGACGGCTAATGTAGAGGTGTGAAGATGAACCGGAATGGCCAAATACGAAATGGTCTATAAATGCAAGGATGCAGGCAACTGAGTCTGGCTCACAACCTCCAAAAGTACGGGCCATCAAAGTGAATAATGAAGGGGATCAATGGGTTCCCAAGTGAGTCGTTTATTTCAGTGTGTACACTCGTAAAGAGAAACAAGCGGGTCAAGGCCGCTTTCGAGCGAGCGTCAGCGGCTGCGCTTTTCTCAGAGGTCAGCCCCGCACCAGAAGGGAATCACTGACACACATCCGCCGTCTGTTGACCCATTTAGCCCATCTGTACAGTCGCAAAGACACGGACAAAGTTTCCCTGTATTTGGATTAGAAACGGACAAACCTCTTTGTTGTCCATGTTAGTTTTCAACCTTTTTACAAATAAGAAGATTGCGTCTGATGTTCACTTCCTTACAGCCGAGATAAAAGCAATGAGCGCCACACTGGAGAGATATGTTCCCTTTACTATCTTCAAGGCATGAAGGAAAATACATACTAATTTGTTCCTGTCATATCCATTTAAATATGTAGAGACAGCATGGCGCCACTGCCCTTGCATGAATATTTCACAAACCGCGTCAGCTGAACCGAAAACAACGGACATTGTGCCGCGTCGTTGCCCGTGAGCAACAAAGGAAGTCCAAGAGGAGATTAAACGTTTTGTCAACGCACTTTTCTGAGAGAATCGCGGGAACAACGAAGGAGACCTTTTTGCAGAATGCGTTTCAACAGAGGCAGGTGGACCACGATCGACGACTCGGGCGACCAAGCTTTCTTTTTTCCCCCTACAAGGGGTCTTAAACAACTCTTGAGAAACTCGCAGCAGTAGAGCATGGCAGCTGAGGGATGACGCAATCTCCTCAGGGACTCATAATAAAACATTATCATAGAAAGAATGAGACACAAACTGATATTTAAATGGCTTCAGTCCGTGTAACTGCATGGGTGACCTATTTGCTCTCATCAGCGCAGTAAGTTTATTGTACTTTGTTAAAACGTGTGACTCCAGTGCCACAATATTTCGTAATAACACAAAAGCCGTCGTCATGGAGCAGCTTGTTTGAGTGTAATATACACAAAGCATCTGCCCTGGCTCTTCCAACTACCTGCAAGACCATATTTATTTATTTACCTGTACATACAAATTGCTTACCATTCTTCAGTTATGCCCTTAACTAGCCAACCCAGGTTGTGTGCTCGCTCAAGGAGAGTCCACGCTGCTCTCTGCTCGTGTTCCGATGCACTCCGGCTCTCCACGCCTGCTTCTCTGCGGCTTTTCCACATGGCGTTCTACTCTGGATGCAGAAGGCCCTGCGGGACTGCGGGGGCGAAGGCCTCGGGGCTTCGGAAACATGTGTAGGGGGAAGGGCGAGCGAGCGAGCATCTCACCACCGCTTAATGCTCCGCTCGGGCTTCTCGGGTCCCCCGACCCACGGGCCCGCCTGTAACCGCCCTACGAGAGCCCAGCTAAAAGACAGCCAGCCAGACTCGGCTATAGGAAACGAGCGAGTTGACCTGGAAAAAGGAACGCCTTTTATTCCGGGCCCAGAGGGTTTAAAGGGCACGGTATAGCTTTGGCGGCTGGCGGGGCTGAAAGCATCGGGCGGCGGCATCGCTCCCATCAGCCCCGGCTGTGTTTGGTCACCGCGCACTGCTGTCGTGCAGGGAGACAGACGCTGGCCCTCACACATGAGGCGGGTAGCCTATGTGGCGGTTTTGTGGGACAAAAAAGACTAGATCCAGATATTGTAATAGTAAGTGTGGGACTCAGAGGACAATTAAAGACCTACAAGCGTCCCCGTAGCTCTCGTTCTCATTAGGGTAAGGGAATGGACGCTAGCAAGGCTCTGTGTTTAAAGGGCTTGTGTCTGACCGCTTCCTCCTCGGCGCGTGCGTAGTAATTTAATTAATTCCACCGGCTTTTCTAAAGGGCAACTGCTGAAACCAGGACAATTAATAAAACGGGTGAGTCCTCTGCTCTTTGTTGCTCTTTGTTCCCCTTTTCCTCATTTGAGTGGCTCGGCACAATCCCCTCACGGCACCCAGCCAGATTTGCATATAGAAAAGTCATATCTGGCTTCTCGCCTGCAATTATTCATAAACGTGAAATGCAAAGTAAACAGAACATGAGGAACGTGGAATGTACGTGGAGCGCTGACAAAACGTCGTCTTCTAGGAATTTACTGTAAGAATAATTGTTGTGCAAGAGGCGGCAAACGGACACCCCATTTGTTTTTTTTTACAAATGCGTGTGTCATAACGGGACCCCAGCAGAGCCGCGGTCCTCCGGGAGTCTGCTCATCCTTCTCGAATGTCAGCGTTCGACTCACGACGTCTCTTCCTCCTCCTTGGGATTTGTCTCTGAAAGCTGAGGGTGATTAGCTGCCTGCGACGTGGACGGCTCCGGAGTCCCAAAGGACAGTTCAAAGTGTAACGGGGTTAATTAGCAAGAACACGACCTAGACTAAAGAAGACTGCTCATAATATACAGTATGAAATCTGTGGGTAATTCATAACTGGTTCATTTAGGATCTATAGACTTTTTATTTCTATTTTGCTGACTTATACTTAATAATTTTATATTGAAAACATATAAAACAGCCACAATGACAAGCAGACACCATTTCAAGGTCGGCATCTGGACTGTTCGACTAGAGAAGAGAGACAGAGAACAAACAGCCACACAGAGACAGGAGCAGAGAATAAGTGTGTGTGTGTGTGTGTGTGTGTGTGTGTGTGTGTGTGGGCGGCTTGGTGCAGGTTCAGGTGCGGCCAGTTATTAACACAAACGCACACTATTTTATTAGTGGTCGTGTGGTTCATGGCTGAACATTTCATCATGTTTTTTCCCGGCCTGCATGAGTTTCCACCGGCCCACGTGTGGTCCCTGTTGACGCACACACGCACACGCACGCGCCGAGAGGATTACTGGTTGTCCGACCTCGCAGCAG